TGGTCATTAATAACTATAATAAAGAAAGTTTTCTTTGGCCCATAAATATGTCTTTGGTAATTTTATACTCTGGTGTATGTGTGTGACTTATTCAAAAGCCCTAAACCCTAAGCTGACAAATTAGAAAATGTCTTTTCATGATAAATAGATCATCAGTGGCTGGTCAATACTCAAATGCACATATCTGTACTGTTGAATAAAAAATTAAAAAAAAGCTAGTTCCTAGGCCTGTGTGCTACAAGCAAATTCACAGATTTGTCAGCACTGAATCATTAGCATCCATAGCAGTATTTTAAAAAGAAGCAGGAGACAACTGAAAGCTTTCAATGCTTCACCAGCAGTGTTCGGCTGCTGTATCAGCGAGGATACAGAGTGTGTGTATATATATATATAAGCCTCATTAGCCTTGTATCTAGCAAGGCTCTAGTCCAATATCAAAATACCCAGCAGTCTATAGAGCAAATGTGAAGTCTAATCTGACCGGTGACAGCTGGACCATTGTATTAAGCTGAGGTTTCTGGTTCCAGTCAGTACATTATATCAAAAGAAAAGGTCGCCATCACCCCCCGAACCCCCTGATGCATTAGTTACCTGTCTGATATTTGATTCTCAACATTCAAATCTGGACCAGCTGAGTGATGGTGAATAGTGAGCTCTCTTTTTTCACAGACTGGTGGTCTCTAACTGGATCTGAGGGTCTGATGACAGGGCTGTGGTGGTGGTGGGCTCTTGACCAGCAGAGCTCTCCTTTTGTTTGTCCACAATCACCTCAGGGATGAGGGCTCGCCCTACCCCCTTTAGGACCAGGCCACCATCTGTAGGGAACAATTATATCAGTTTAGACGCGTCTTAAACTTGAGCTGAAGCAACAAACCAAATTTAATCACACCCACACACGCCATTTCAAACTGGGTAGTGCACACACACACACACACACACACCTTTTAGACACTCAGTAAGACACCAAAGCTCTCATTATTACCTCTAGTCAATATTGCATAAATAGAGCCAGTTAAATGACATTTTTAGAGGTGGAGGTCTTATTTAGAGAGTATCTTTGGTGTGTTAATCTTTAAATGCAGCAAATGTTTTACATAGATCACTTGTGGTTAGGCTGCACATACAGAACAACAGCACACTCTTGGTTTAGAGCCTGTTTACCGAGCTTAGGGGCATGTTATAGAAAACTGTTAGCAGGCAAAAGCCATCCAACCTCAGGATCGAGGATGGTGTGGGAATCACACCAGCAGGGATAACGTACAAGACAAATGCATATAATATACATAAATACATGTATACAGCAACAACAAGTGCACACCATAAGGAGAAAATACCTGCATCCTTTGTTACCCTGCACAGACACACAAACATGCAGTGGACAGAGCAAGCAACGTTAATGTATCAGCCAACTAGATCCTTACCATCACCTGCCTTGCAAAGCTCATCTTACATGTAGGCCAGCAGCTCAGACATCTGTAATATTTACACATTTCCCGTCATGCTTCAGATCGTCACGGTTACATTTAGTGTGCAAGGCATTATTAAACAGTGAAACCAAAAGCTAGAAAGCTAAGTAGTAAGTAATGCCGTGAGAAGAAGCTGAATTCAGTATCAGCAGACAACCAGCAAGTGATTCCAATTGTTGCAGTGCCTACACAAAGAAATCATGTTTAATCATTTTAAAGATGCTGTCTTCAATGATGGAAAGTAACATAGTAAATGTATTCAAGTAGTGTACAGTTTTACTTTGTACTTTACTTGAAAAAGACTTGATACACAATAATTCTGATCCTAATGTGGTACTTTAGTCCACTAGATTTATTTGGTAACTTCAGTTACTTTCAGTGGTGGAAAGTAACTAAGTACATTGTATTTAAGTACAATTTTGAAGTATCTAAGAGTAATTTCATTTTCTGTTACTTCATACTTCACTACATTTTAGAGGCAAATATTGTACTTTCTACTCCACTATGGTTATTTTATAACTGTAGTTACTTTTTAGAACCAGATTAAAATACATCATAATTATAAGACCTCATTGATCTTTGGAAAAATCACAAGCTACCCAGCAGTAATTCAAACTAAATGCATATAAGCCAGTTAAAACCAACTCCCCCTTTACCAGCTGCAACATTAAATGGACTGTAGACAAGAATGCATCAGTAATTATAATACAATGATATATACAGGAACGTGAAATGTGCCATTCTGCATAATGAGTACTTTTACTTTTAGTACTTTAAGTATATTTTGATGCTAATACTTTTGTACCTTTACTTAACATTTTGAATGCAGGACTTTTACTTGTAACAAAGTATTTATACACTGTTGTATAGCTACTTTTACTTAAAGAATCTGAGTACTTCTTCCACCACTGGTTACTTTGCACATTCAGATCAATAATTATTATTTATATTATAGGTTAAGATAAGAATTGATCACTTGCAGGAAATTCACAAAGTACTCAACAGTATATATAGTAAATAAAACTAGTAATGTGCACAATGCATGAAAAGGTTACGTATAATAATATACTGCACTACATTATTCTGAAATTGGCTATTCAGCAGAATTAATACTTTTACTTTTGGTACTTTAATTATATTTGTAAATGCAGGACCTTTACTTCTAAGAAGCATTTCTACTATGTGGTATTGCTACCTTTACTTCAGTAAGTTAGGAGTACTTCTTCCACCCCTGTCAGGAAGTAAATATTGTAATTGTTATTCCACTACATGTATTTCACAGCTAGAATTACTGCCTCCCTTGCAGAGCACAATTTTACAACACAGTTAATTAAGCTATAAAAATATATGTTAAAGATTAAATGGTGCTTATTCATAAATGTGTAACAATCCGGTAACATCATATATAAACAATATAGCAGTTGCACATGAGTATTTGTATGCAAGTAGGATTATGAAGGACTTTTAATTGTAATATTTTCTAACGGTAATATTTGTACTCTGAGTTACATAAAGGATCGGAATACTTCCTCCACCACCGAGAGTCTTAAATCTGTACACTGTTGTATTACAAAATGACCAGACCAAAGATCCTAATCTATGTGGAGCTACAGTAGTACACACACACACACACACACACACACAGTGTGTGAGGCTTTCTCTGCCAAAAGTTGGGCTTAGGCTGCACATACAGATACACACATCAACTTCTTTAATCTAACAGCTTGGTGCATCTCAATTTTCTTAAGTCTCAATGTAAATTACTGTTTGCTTTTATGACCATTTACATATAATGATACAACACATTACTCCTGATACTGTGTATTACAATAAAACTATTGAAAAACTGGATTTGTGTTTACCTGTTATGATCTTGGAGGCGGAGCTGCAGAGGCCATTTCCATCGTCATTCACTGCAGGTTGAAGGGGTGGTGGCATGCTGGGTCGGGGCCGTGGCCTTGGAGCTGGCCTGGAGGGGCGAGGAAGAGATCCAGAGGGGCAAGAAGAGTGTGTGTTGGAGTGGGATCCATCATGAGGTGGAGTGCCAGGAGGGGTGGGACTGCTGGGGGGAGAGGGCTCAGGCTCCCCCTGGGCCTGGTGGGGTTGAGGAGGCTGCGGGGGCGGATGGCTTGGGACATGGATTAGGCCATCTTTGCTAGAGCAGCGTCGGGGAGTGATGGGTGGGTGTTGAGACCTGGCTGTCTGTGTGTTACTGGGCTGTGAGGAAAAGGGGCTGGCCTGCTTTGGTGGGGCTGGGGCCTGCTTTGGTGGGGCTGGGGCCTGCTTCTTGGTGCCTTCAGAGGAGTATAATTATTACATGATGATGATATCAATGGTATTAAAATAATCAGAATAGGATTGTACATGGTCTCACCTCTGCGGACGATGTGTGGACTAGGCCCCCTGGACCCGCCCTGAGGGTGGGGGGTGCCTGCTGAAAGATGGACTGAACCATTCCTCTGGGGAGGGGGTGTGGCCATGACATCACTGGCTGGGCTGTGGAAATACAATAAATCCAAATGTTAATCCATCAACATGTCATCTGCACTTCACATTCAACATGCAAGTGTTGAACCACTGCAAGAAATCATGCAAAATATATAAAATAAACTACCATTCAAGGTCTAGTTACAGTAGATGGATATCAACAAAAAGAAGTGTAACAAAGAGGATGCAAAATCAGAAAACAAGTTTGTTCACACAAAAACTGAATCAAGGCTAAGCAATGTGCTGCATGCAATTATTCAGGGAGACATGCTGACAGGCAGGAACGAATGCAAGTATATTTAAATAATACAGATGGGTGACAAATTAAAGGAAAATCCAACAAGTGTCCCAGTGAGGTGTTGAGCCACCACGTACCGCCAGAACAGCTTCAGTGCACCTGGGCACTGATTCTACAAGTCTGAACACCATTCATCCGAAAGATATTCCTTCGGTTGGCGTGTTGATGGTGAAGCGCTGTCTAACATGTTAGTCCAAAACCATCTATAGGTATTCAGTGAGCTCTGGTGACTGCAAAGGCCATAGCATACGATTCATATCATTTCATATTCATCAAACCACTCAGCGACCCCATCCTGAAAGAGAGCACTCATTTATTTACGCTTTTCCTTTAATTTGTCACCCGTCTGTAGACTTTGCCAATCATCACAACAAGCAGAAGGGAGAGAACAAATCAGTAAACAAAGCACAATGTTCTTATGTTCTTAATTTGTTAAAACAAACCCACATTAAAAGCTAGGGACATTGTAGACATTGTTATTCTCATGATTTTCTATTTTATGACTTCCAGTTTAGGAAGTGTAAACTGAAAGTAGGAAGTGTAAACTGAAAGACCAAACAAACACATGTCAACCAACGGGTGGGTAGAGCTCCGGATTTTCTGATTGGCTGTGAGGCAGGCGGTGGACTATTGTTGCTACCTCAGCTCGCTCCTTACCTGCTCTCCTCTGTGCTGAGCTGGGTTACAAGCTGAAGTTGCACAGTGGCTACCTGGACCCCACCACCCAGAACACCACCCAAACCACCACCAGCACCACTCAAGCCAGGCTGCTCAGCCTCTGTAGCCAGGGATGGAGCCTGGGGCTGGGATTCAGGCTGGGTAGGAACCCCGGTTTCGACAGGGGGCAGTGGGGGTTGGAAGGTGGGTGAGGTTAGCTGTGGCTGTTTTCTATTTACAGCGCTGGCTCTACGTGGGTTGGGCTCCGGCTGTTTGTTAACAGTGCTAGGGAGGGGGGAAAGGGGAGATAGTTCAGGAGGACAAACCACACGCCATCAGACAGAAAGAGACAGAGATGTGGTGCAAGGAAGAGAAAGAGATGCCACTTCCTGAGTTCAATGAAACCAGTTCTGAAAAGAGAACCTAAAAAAAAGGACATAAAACCACATGATACAACAACTTTGAACTGCAACATCACTGCAGGGACAGAAAAGGACAGATGCCGCACGATACCAACAAAATGCAACAGATGAAGCCCACACAAAACAGAAAACCAGTAACCTACAGTATGACCTAAGCTTTAATTGGAAATAAAGGAGACAACACAAGAGTACACAAGAGTAACACAAGAAAATAAGACAAAGCGGTGCATATTGAAAATGGTTTGTGTTTCATTCAAATATCTGGAAAAAAGAGAACTGCTTTATCATCATGTTTTGTACCAGCTGTGAGGAAAACATAACTGATTAGCTTGCACTGAAATCACCTGAACATAACAGAAATGTGGTGTAAAAATCACAATTCATATCATTCCCTTCGTTCATGTATCAGGACTAATGGGAGCTATGGCACAGCTTTGAAGTCTAGACTGGTCAGATCTTCAGTGGGTGTTTCAGTGACTGTGATGGACTCGTCAGCCACTACATAGTGGGCCGACACGGCTGGGCCCCGCGACTCCTGCCTGCTCATTGTCTTGGGACGGGATGATAGGGTGAGAGGCAGGCTGAGGCTGAGGTTGGGGCGAGACAGGTACCTGTCTTTACGGGGAGTGTGACTGTCCCCGTCCTGCCCCACCAGGCTGCCAGGGCGTTTCCTATCTAGGCTGGGTTCAGGATCTTGGGTGGCTGGGTGAGTAGGCATGGCAAACATGCCAGATACATTGAAGTCCACATCTGGAGGGGAAAAAGCAAATAGAGAAATGATTATTACAATGATGATCATTTTTTATTGGCCAAGTATGTTACACACAACAAATTATTCTCTTGTACAGAACTGAAGCAGCCATCTGCGGTGCCAACTCTCTCTCACAGGGCTTACTCGGGACCTATTGCACCCTAGGTGAGAATCATACCCTTTGACCAAGACACCAACAAGCCGAGAAATGACCTTCTTCTAATTCATAGCACAAAATATCAAATATATTTTTCTTTAGCAATGCTAGCTATGACTTTTTTAAACAGACATTCAAGTCCTCCTGAGGATGCATTGTATTAACTTTTTACCTTGCACCATCATTAGATCACAATTTTAATTTGTCGAGTATTTTGGTTTATTGGATGTTTAGTACTAGTTCACACATGCTAGCATGCTAACACATTCAATTTAGATGGTGCACATGATAGACACTGTACTGCTAAACATCAGTATGTTAACACTGTCATTGTGACTCTCAACTCAACTTTATTTATATAGCGCTTTACCACAGCACAGCTGACCAAAGCGCTTATTAACATATCATACAAATCTAAAATCAACACATAAAAAACTATAAACAATAAAATAAACACTAATACTACAGACAGAGTCTCATTCCTGGCCAAACGCCAATGAATATAAGTAGGTCTTCAAATATGACTTAAAAATAGACAACGAGGGGGCCTGCCTAATATAAAGAGGCAAAGCATTCCACAGGTTTGGACCCACCACAGCAAAGGCTCTATCCCCCCTAGTTTTACGCCTAGCCCTCGGTGCCTCCAGAAGAAGCTGATCAGCTGATCTAAGGCACCGCGACGGATTATACGGACGCAAAAGTTCCACGAGATAAGATGGTGCCAGCCCATTTAAAGATTTATAAACAAATAAAAGAATCTTAAAACAAACCCTAAAACCCACCGGAAGCCAATTGAGAGATGCCAGCACTGGTGTTATGTGGTCCCTCTTATGACCCCCCCAACCTATAACTGAGCGGCAGCATTCTGGACCCTCTGGAAGCGGGCAAGCCCTGATTGACCAACTCCAGCGTACAGTGCATTACAGTAATCCATACGAGATGTAATAAACACATGGATCACTGTCTCAAAATGCCGCGCGACAAAAAGGGTTTTACTTTCACTAACTGCCTTAAATAGAAAAAAAAACAGATTTTACGACCGCATTTATCTGGCTCTCCATTTTCAAATCGGAGTCTATTTTAACACCCAAATCAGTGACCACCAGTCGCACATACTGCCCCAAGAAACCTAAGTCTACAGGAGGAGGGTCACCAGACGTATTCTGGCCAAACACTATAACCTCAGTTTTAGCATCATTTAACTTTAAACAATTTAATGACATTCAGCCCTTAATATCGGCAAGACATGCTAAAAGTGGTTGAATCGAGTAGGTGTCCTTCTTACTCAGTGGCATAATAATCTGGACGTCGTCAACATAACAATGAAAAGACACCCCATGTTTCCTAAAGACAGAGCCAAGGGGAAATAAATACAATGAAAAAAGCAAAGGCCCCAAAATGGAGCTCTGTGGGACCCCAGATAACAAAAGGGTTGTCACAGATTCAACATCTGCCAACCGGACAGACATCGGTCTACCCGATAAATATGACTTAAACCATGCTAGGGCAGCACCACGAATGCCCACTAAATCCTGAAGCCGAGATATTAAAATGTCATGGTTAACCATGAGCATGTTAGCATGCTGATATTAGCATCTGCTCAAATGCTAATGTGCTCAAAGCATTGCCATGCTTGAAAAAAGTACACGTAAATAAGGTTCATTTAGTGCTTTCTAGGGATGGGACAATATATCAAGATTCAATATACTGAAATATATCCCAGCTGACATTGCACGGGAGGTGGGGTACACCCTGGACACTCCTAGAACTTACTCCTACAGGCAATTTAGAGTTGTCAATCAACCTAAGCTGCATGTCTTTGGACTATGGGAGGAAGCCAGAGTCAGCAAATTCATATTTTTTGTAAATAAGATAGCCTAACAGAACGTAAGTCAATATATCTGGTTGTTCTTTACATAATCAAACCAGTACTAGAAAAGGGAGAAAAAGAGGAATAAAGTTAAGTATTCCACAGCTAATCATACATTGTTATCACTGAATTTTTAATTGTATCATGACTGAATCCAATCATACACAGCATATCCTGCATCGAATCGTATCTAGAAAGTCACCTTGTCCCATTCCTAGTGCTTTTCAACATTTCCCAAAATCCCCACTGTCCTCTAGAGAATAAACATGACCTCTTGAGAATGAAATAAATTGCTGGAGATTGAAAAGACAATGGAAGTAGTATAGCAGGAGGAAAACAGCTTTTTTTTTTTTTTTTTTAAATGAAAAACATTGCATCCCGATTCAAAATAAAAGATCCTGCAAATAAACTGTACCGTGGCTCAGTATAATCAGATCAAACACCACAGCAGCTATGTTTGAGCACTTATCAGCAAAACGCAGGCCAAACCAGAGGCAAGGTACATTGCAAATAGTCAATGTCAATGTAGTTACAGTATGTGTTCTTTCTTTTAAGACATAGAGAAGAAGTATTATTGCAAATAGAACAGACAATGTTTTTACCTTCAGGGAAGAACCAATCAGCATGTTGGATAATGGGCTCAATGATTGCAACCACATGGACAGATGTTGCTGCTGCCATCTCTGCCAGCGTGCTGAACACAACGATGGACAATAAAAGGGCAGGAGGAAGGTCAGTTATCTTGATTAACCTTAGCTTCCTTTTGTGATGTACTCAGAAAGTTAACATGAGCTAAACAGAGTACAAGGTTCTCACCCCTCAGTCTTTTGCCAGAGCAGGTTGGGTCCCAGGACTATGGCAATGTTGCTGGGAGTCATTTTATTAGCCTCACTGTCCTGAGCCAGTTTAGCCAGGAACTTCACCAGATACCTGCAACAGAGACTCCAGCTGCTTGAACATTCTCCAAGTGGGTCCTAAAATCTTAGGCCTGTGACCATTTAGAGCAGATATGGAGCTGTGAGCAGTTCTTCTCATTGTTATATATTAAACATTTTTAAAGACCAGATGTGGTAAAAGTGACCAGTAACTGACAACAGAAAACCTAGAAAACAAAATATAGATATCTTGTGAGATACATTTTTCTAATTCTCTTTTCCCTTCAATCATCTTTGACCCCTCAGATTTATCTTAGGACCATTTGGGGGTCACAACCCTCAGGACAGAAACCCTTGTTCCAAGTAGAAGAGAGTGCTCTGATGTGTACCAAGACGTTAAAATGACTTACAATAAGCTAGTGAGACTGATTTCTATTGCTCATCTAGTTACAAACTGCTGCATCAATTCTGAAAGTGAAAAATGGAACAGAGATTAGCTTGCGGCCTCTCTCAGTTCTGTTGCTGTATTTAGAAACAGCTTTAGACACCAGCACTTTATACAACATGTATCAAAAACAACACACTAGAATGCAGCAGAGTTGAAGATGCTCTTACCTGAGGTTAGCTCTGTGGGTCTTTGGCAAATGGTCACATGTCACCCAAAGAGCCTGAAGCCTCTTATCAGGATCTGACACACTAAAACCACACATACATATAGTATTTACTTCTTACAAAAGCACCAGGCTATCTAAATCAGTCTGTGAGCATACACTGCTTCTGGTTTGTGTGCATAATGTTTATAGCTATAAGAAATGAACAAGACTTATGTACAGTATGTTTGCAGTGTCTTCTTACTTGGAGGCCTGTATCCATTCATCATACAGTCCAAAAGTCATTAGGGGTTCAGGAAGTTCCCTGAGGTAGGACTTCAGGGCTCCTGTGTACACAGAGACAAGCTATGAGCAAATTATGTGGATCAGATGGTTTAAATTTTCATGGATTTGTAGATGAGGTTGTACCAGCAACAGCGTGGGGATCAGAGTAAAACTCTTCGAGCTGCGAGGTGGAACAGTCTAGTGCTGCTTTGAGCTTCTTCAGCTTTGAAGCCCCAGCAGCTATTCTGAACAGTCCCTGCAAGGACAATGTAGGAAAACAAATGACTAAATGGTGCTTTTTGGCAGGTACATGTGACTGGTCTCCATTTTAAAGTTAAAGAAGTCTATGTTGGTATCAGGAAAGAGGAAAATGATGCAAACAAAACCGCACCATCCACTAAATGTTATCAATAGAAATGACTCTTTCAAGATAAGTGTGATGAGTGTCAGTCCGAGGTACAGCAAGAGCTTTGTTTCCATTTATAAAACTAAATCCTCCTCCTTGGGGAGTCTACTAATATGGTTACATTCAACAGTGAACATGCTAATGGATAACAGATGCCCTCACACACACACAGTGCTTCCCACAGCTGGAAGGCTAAGTTACCGCTAGTTGGCTACAGTTGTTTCCAGACTGTACATGCCATCATTTCTAAAGAGTGGTCCATATGGCCCACATCTTTTTCCAGCTTCAACAGAGTGGAGCGATGAAGATATATGGATACAGCTTTATGACCAAAATCTGGTCAATTAACCCTTAACCTTGTCCTATTTACTAAAATGTCTCCTTCCATGACTCCATCTGTACTGTACCTCCTCCTTCATGCCAGTTTCCAGCAGCATCATGATGCAGGCTTCTATGGGCAGAGCAATCTCACGGTTACTCCTCTTCAGATGCTCCTCCAGGGCCGTACCAAATGCAGGCTTCTCTGTCCAGGAGTCTAGATGAGAAATATGTCATCAGTGTATTTAGTCTAATGCTACTATTTAACTGTATTTCACAGCCTTGTGGGTCGGGCTTAAGCTTCAGACACCCATCAAGTGGGCTGGCTGGTGGTCTTGGAAGGAAATGTTGGAAACTGTGTATGAATGATATCTCAAATTTGAAGGTACCTGAAATAGTGGGAGTTTGGTAATTTGAACTGTTCAACAAAATGGCCAAAAGAACCAAACAACCCATCAATGAAAAAGTCCTGCACACTGCATATTCCCTTCCCAGCCCAGATGTGAAATGCTGCATCTACCAAAGACGGTTACATTAAAGCTTGTGTATGGCCAAAGTGTTTACAGAATTGAGTAGGGTGCCTTATTAACTGGGAATAACAAGCTCTTTGTTCGACTGATTATATAGACTGAGGGGCCAATGGGCAGCCCCGTCTCATGCCCCTTTGAAGTAGTCCGAGTTAATGCTGCTGATGCCTGTGGCATAGTGCATAATGTCTGGATCCAAGAGATGTACGTTAGGCTAAATCCAAATTTGTATAGTGATTTAAAAATGTGTCTATATTCAGTTTGGTCAAAATCTTCACATGCGTCCATTGAAACGACTATTTCTGGGAACTGGGTCGAATGTGCAGCATACATTATATCGAAAAGGTGGCACAGATTGTGATGTGATTGTCTTTTATGAAACCTGTTTGGTCAGGGTACACAATGGTTTGTAATACAGATTCCAATTTGAGGCCAAGGATTTTTGCAAGTATTTTATAATCACATGTAAGCAGGTTGATTCACATCTGGTAGAGTCCTTATATCTTTTTGGCAAAACAGAAATTGTGGCTTGGGTCACAGATGTAGGCAGTTTCTTTTGTTTGAGTGATTCAGTGTAGAGGGAGCACAGTAATGGTGTCATTTTGGTAGCAAAGGTCTTGTAAAACTCAGTTGGGTAACCATCTGGGTCTGGTACCTTTCTGTTTTTCATTAGTTCGATTGCCTGTCCAATCTCCGTTTCAGATATTGGCTCTTCTGGGTTGGCCTTATCTTCGATAAAATGTTTTAAAAAGCCCACACAAACAACTGGTTATCACAGAAAGCCGGCAGTTACATGGTAACTTATTGCACATAAACCCACTACAAAAGGAGAACTTGGGGGGAAACGGATGCGACTACATGAGATTTTAGTCATTTTGTTTTCTGGTAAACTGAGCTCAAATGAACTTTATTGCCAAAAGTCTGCCCTTTAAGCTGGTAGCAGTTTACTCAAATGAACCTGAGAAAAAGCAGATGTGGCATTATATACTGTAAGGATAAGACAATGGAGCTCTCATTTCGATTTCACGGAGAGGAAAATGGAGCACCGTGCTGCTGGCTGATATAGAGGAACTAAAACGGATCACCACTGACAGAAACAATAACAGTAGAAAACTCTGCCAAATATGACTTGCGAAACTAACTGTGACTATGCTCAGTTTCAATAAACAGAAAACCACTGAGCCGGCTCTGGTTTCATTTATCCTACAAGTCAATAGTTTGGTTCAATTCTGTTCCAACTTCAAACTGGCAGCGTACTTTACAAGTACTGTTAAAAAAAAGAAAAGTGCACCCCAATAAGCCACGACAAGCCGGTCTGCATTACTCAACAGCAGAGTACCGAGTCATTTGTTTCCATGACACAGTTGGATAAATTATCAACTACAGATATCATCTCTAAAACTATTCTGGGCTTTAAGAAGGAACTAAAACAGGAGGTGTAAATGCCATTTTCACAGTCATGGTAAAAAAATTAAAAAAAAAGAAGTACATCCTCTTTCAGTTCTATGTTTTTATTCATCAGGGCCTAAAGACAACTGTGTTGACCTCACCAACCTCTGTAAACAAAAAAAATAATCTCACCTGACAATTTAAAAAGCTCACTATGTAGCCATTGTTTCTGAAAGGTAAACCAACATTCAGAAACTAGCCTGGAAAATAAGAGTATAATTCAGTAACAAGTGCAGCAATTACTTGCAATTACTTGCTGCACTTGTTACCGTTTCTGTAGGAGTTTACCAGTCTCATCATTTTGGAGAAGTGTTGGCCCACTCTTCTCTACAACACTGCTTCAGTTCACTGATGTTTGAGGGCACTCACTTATGCACAGCTCTCTTATGATCCTGCCACAGCATCTTAGTGGGGTTGAGGTCTTGACTGACCATTCCAACACCCTGACTTTGTTCTTCTTTAGCCATTCAGATGTTGATTTGCTAATATGCTTGGGACCGTGGTCCTGTTTCAGGTCCCAATTTTGGCCCAGTTTATACACAGATGGGTTCACATTTGTCTCAAGAATATTCTGGTAAAAATGGAGTTCACTGTCAATGACTGGAGGTTTCCCAGGTTCTGTGGCTGCAAAACAAGACCAAATGGGGGCGACTGTGGTTCAGTGGGTAGAGCCGTCGTCTCCCAACCGGAGGGCCAGAGGTTCAAATCTCGGTGCTGTGGTGGCAACTTTTATAATAGCACCCTTTAAGTTCTTTGCCTGCAGTCCACATGACGAAGTGTCTGTGGGCAAAACACTGAACCCCCAAGTTGCCCCCGATGGTTAGAGCCATCAGTGTGAGTTGGCGCCACAGATGGCTACCTCGGTTCTGTACCGGAAACAAATTCCCTGTGTGTGTAACATACTTGGCCAGATAAAAGTGATTATCCTTATTACCCTTGTCCTTAAAAATCATCACCCCTCCACCACTATGCCTGACAGCTGGATATGAGGTGTTTATGCTGAGTTTGGTTTTCCCCAAACACAGCGCTGTGCATGACAACCAAACAGCTCCACCTTTGGTCTCATCAGCACAAAGGACTCTGTTCCAGAATATTTGTAGTTTGTTCAGATGCAGTTTTAAGTCGTGCTGCCATATTCTTTTTGGAGAGATGGGGCTTTTTCCTAGACGATGTTTTGTGAAAGCCATTTTGTTCGGTCTTCTTCTAATTGTGCTGTCATGAACAATAACATTTAATTTGCTGACAGAGGCCTGCAGGTCACGTGATGTAGCTCTTGGGTTTTTCTTTACATCTCTGACCATTAAATGATCTGACCTTGGACTGATCTTGCTGGGACACCCACTCCTGGGAAGGCCTGCAGCCTTAAAGTCTCTCCATTTGTAAACAGTCTTTCTCATTGTAGAACGATGAATCTCACATTGTTGAGAGATGGCCTTGTAAGCCCTCTCGAGGTAGTCACATTTCTTAATGATTGACTAATCCTGTGCATTTGATTAGTAACACCTGGCTGCTGATTACTCTCTTAATGATTGTGGAAGTAGGAATGGTGTACTTTTATTTTCCCACCTGAGGCCTGCACCACAAAGCGAGTTCAGCTTATTCTGGCTCTCTTGGGGTTATCTAGCTTCACTGAGCGTAACATTGGTGGTCCTGGGTAACCGGTACCACAAAGCCAGTTATCTACTGGTTCTGTTAAATCTGAGTTTTCTTATCAGGCGTGTTCATGTGAATGAGATGGAGTTGTTAATTAGAAGTGACAGCAACAGCACCGTGAGTGAATTAGGCCACTGAAAATGAGATGGAACAGTGATACCTGCAGTGAAAATGGTGATGCTACAGTGGGTGAACTGTAAACAATAGTCACATAACTAGAATAAAACACTACAGGAAATATATATATAGGAACTCTAGAAATAATTCTCAAATAAGGAAAGACTGAGAATATACCGTACATTAGCACAGTGTTATTGTAAGGGTCTTATTCAATGTGGTTTTTGTCTGATGAGGAAACTGCTCGTTTCTGCTGCCAGAGCAGAGAGGAGAGGAGAGTTACACCTCAAGTCACATGTCCATTTATAATATTGGGAAATATTTAACTGAGTATGGATTATTTTTTCTAATGTAAAACCATTATCACATGTCTCCTCATGTTATTCTGAGCTGCAGTGATGGAAGCCAGTTAGGAATTCAGTCCATAATCAAGTAATCTTGTGCATTTAAAATATGGTGTTGATCATCATGAAGACTGTGGACTCCCTCAGGTTGCTAGAAATCCAGAAAGCCTGAAAAAGCACAATGATACGATTGCTCTATAGAAATATCTATTCAATGCTTATCACATTAATGTAGACTCTGACC